TAGATTCGTGGAAACTTATTAGAAAAATAAGTTATAATCTTGGCATACGTTGTTGAGGAAAATAGCAATATGTTTACATCCTTCATTCCAACTACAGGTCAATTAATGTCTAACTTCGTAGAAGCATCTGATGATATTATTATTTTTTAAAAAAGGAAGATTGCAAAGAGCATATTATCTTTTATTTTTGTCTTCACATCGTTAATATTCATTCCACTTTGGTTTGTTTTCAAGGTCTTGTTTATTTAAGAATCTATTCCATTTTTCTCAACCATACATTTTTGGACTATTTTTTAAATTTAAACACACCAGTGAATTCTTGTATAATTTTATTGATGTGAAAACATCTTTAAGAGCATTTTAGATTGAGCCGTCAGATCTCCTATGTGAATTGCTCGGGTAGAGTCGGCTGAAATCGACTGATTGAAGCGTTTTTGCACATGAATTAAAATATCCCAAAAATCGGCACTGCATATTGTAAGCAAGAAAAATATCCATCATATCCACTTTGTTATAAGTAGAGACCGGATTTTCATGTCATTCCACTTTTTATTCGGGTGTAAAAACTCCGGACCCCAATATGTATCAGGATCTGTAGAATAACATATTTAAATTTTATATTGCACGAGACTCACTTGGAACCCCCATACCAGACTGAAACGACTAGAAACCGCTCCACGTTTTCGACTACTGCAGCACTTACTAGACAAACGCTCTAAGCTTTCAATCAATTACAAACGGCTCATATATATGACAATAATAAGACCTATTTGGACTAACGGAATTGAACTACTAAACCATCGAATTCCTCTCGTATCCAATCCTAACAATCCAAAATCCTTCGTAAAATCTTCAACGCTCCTTATTTGGTCACAAATAAAATCATCCATAAAGACCTTAATGTTCCATATGTTTCCGATTTGGCCCAATCCAGATACCTATCCTTCCATAACAAACTGCAGAACCATCCGAATCCTCTCGTTTCAAACCTTGCTTCCTCCTCGATCCCTGATAACCCTCCGAGGCGTCTGAAAAGAAGATGGCCTCGGGACCTTCTAATATAGAACTTTAATTTGAGTTCTACCAATGGTTATTTTCTCTTCATGTTGTACATGTCATGTTACCAATGTCACATTTACTTATTGTATTTTCCATGTAATACAGTTGTAAAGTTCAATAAAAAATATATATATTGCACAAAATTGCACGTTTTGCCATTTTTGGCTAAAATTTTTTTGTTGGCACGATTTTGATTTTTTTTTTTTTGTATTTAATTGTACACTTTTATACTAAATTAGAATATTTATAAATACAAATGTATAAGTGAGTGTGTTAATTTTTATTTACTATATATTATTCAAATTAAATTCATTATTCAAAAAAGAAAAATATGTAGAAGGCAAATAATTCTGTTTGAAGCAAAATCGTATTCATTACAAAAATACAAGTGAGATCTATTCTTGGAATAGAACTTGCCTAAAGTGTTGGATGATAAAAAGTTGCTTTGTTAGAATTAGCCGTTTTGTTAGTAATGCATATATAAATTACTGTTTGGCTGAATCTCACTCAACGCTCAAACCCTTCATACTCTTCTAGTTTTGAATTGATTTGTGAAAATTCATTCTTATAAACAAAAAAAAAAAAAAATTGATATGCTGAAATAAAATCTAGTCTCCAGTCAAAAATTAAAATCTGGATATAAAAATACCACGATTTGAAATGTGAGACAAAGAATTTGATGAGCAAAGTCTATAACCTTATGAGACATTAATTGAGGTGATTGGAATCACTCTAGACGCTCATTGCGAAAACTTAAGAAAAATATATCTTTTTCAAGGAACTGAATGTTTTTGTTTTTTTATGAAATAACTTATCCCCAAAAATATTCTTTATACTGATATAGAAAAAACAGCCTTCACACTAATATTTGAACATTTGAAAATCTTCAAACCTTACAGTCTGTTTGAATTTAAAAAAAAATTTCTTTAAATTTTAACAAAAGCGATTCGGAATGTAAGATATGATAATTCAAGCTCTATCATAAGAAAAAAATAAGAAAATAAAAAGATGTCATTATTAATTTAATAAAAGTAAATATCTAAAATCGGTCTGGGTCTCTATAATATATAGGTACCAATAATCCCTGCATTCATTTATTCCTTCAAACCTTCGATGTTCTGCATTATTTTATAATAATCGTTGTTGTAATAGTCGAATATAATCTGGAATTTCATTTTCAAGGTTCCATTTCATTTTTTTTTTTTTTTATCTCTCAGTTCTCTCTCACGATCTGATATGATTTCGATATGTTAATGTTATAAATTAAACAATATCAATGATTTTACACGTTTTTAGGTGTTAATACAGAATTTTACATATTTTTTATTTTTACTGCACGATTTTGCACATTTTGAGTTTATGACTGCACGTTTTCCGGATTTTTAATGGTCGAAAATTCGGTCTATAATTATAAGCTATTATTCAAACTTGTATCCTAATGCGACGCCGTGTTAGAGTGGCGAAAAGAAAAAAAAAGTGTCGAAACCCAAATGAAAACGAGTTTTATTGAAGATTTGGATTAAACTATATCAAATAATAAAATCGGACCTACATACTGTAAGTGAGTGTTTAGCATTCCATCTTCTTTATAATGAGCTATTATTTATAATTTATATTTAATATTATTAATTTTGCATTTTTGATGTACTTCTATCGTGTGATCTAAAGCAAACATCTTACTTTTATCATACAGCAGGCGTCTTAGCATTCTAGTTTCTGACATCCTATATAGATCTACGAGCCTTCGAAGGGGGCTTTTTCCACTAAGGTACCTGCTTTCTTATACTCTGGTTTACAATCGTTCCTTAATTGTCATGTACTATTTTCTATTATTGTGCCATATATACATAAACTAGACATTAAGTCTATTTTCACTTTCATTATTAAATAACCAGGATTCACTGATGTAACTGTGGATTACTATAGACCCCTATTGGTAGTTTTGTAAATCAAGATTTTTGTTTTTAGAGAGATAACTTTAAACTTAATGTTTTTTAGGGCATGAAGGCACTTGCAGATCGACTCGCATTCGCTTCTCCGATTATTGGCTTTCCACGTTTTCAATTGTCTACTATTGAAGCATTTATTCTGGTGTAGTACAGATTTACTGATCTATTACTTCGAGCTACGTATCACATCCATCTTATTCTCCTTGTATTCATATCGCGCGATATTGATTGACCAGTTTCTGTAAGCGGTTCTTTATTTATCATTTTATTTTATACGTCAGTACTCTGATACTGGATTCTTGTGCTGAGATTTTTTTTCTCTAAATCGTTTTCCTCAAATATTTTTGGCATTCTTCGACAAGAGAATTGGAAAAATCTATAGGAAAAACGAGTGCCATACAATTTCATCAGCTCAATCAAATCGGTATGCCAGGATCCCAAGGGAATAGTTCGGCTTAACGAATCTGGATCGGCGCCATTTAGATTTTATGAAGGCGTTAAGAAAGGTGATGGCCTAAGCCCACTACTATTCACCATATGCATGTATTAAGTATGGAAGGTTTGTAAGCGAAGGATATCCAGAGCAACAGTGAGGTACTGGAATTTAATTTCATCAGCTTTTAGGCATTTCACATGGTCTTTTGCTTTAGAATGAGGCATTGTTATGTAGAGGCTTCTAGATGGATTGATACGAAATACAAGCTCTGCTCATCTTAACCTCCGTGCATTCATATCTTGGGATATTGATTGACCAGTCTCTGTATCGTGCGGAGGATTTTCCTCTCAAATCTTTTTTAAAGATTCTGAGGGGTTCGTTCAATAAAAAATTACATAAAAAAAAATAGATCTTTAATAAATAGAAACGTTTTGGGAAAAACAAAATTAGAAAATAAAAACATACCTCTGAATGCACATGCAATAATATAGAAACAAATAAGAAATCAACTAAAGCTAAACTAAAATTTGTACACTACTGATAAAAATGCTTTACAATAACTAACACTGATTATGAATTAATAAATTACAACTACTGTAATTTGTGAGCGCTCACTACACTGCATGCAGGCCACTAATAATAACTAATAATAATAGCTAATTTTCATTAACTAGTGAACTAAGAAAAACAATGTAACTAGTTAAACAATTGTGCTAGCACTAAAAAACAACATGCGGCTGGAATCGATCTCTCGATCCAAAGAGGTTGCACCAGCTTGCGCTATTGGTATAGGCTAAGTTGTCTTGGACGTTTATTATTAGATAGAACCCTAACACTTTTTTCTAGAGTGCTGGTTAGTATCAAGGTATCATAGCCATATATTAGAAATGGCTTTATCATAGCATTGTACATCTTTAGTTTGAGATTTCTTGATATTTTTCGGGATTTCAATACATTTGAGAGGGAGAAGAAAGCTCTGTATGCACTATTTTAGCCCAGTCTATTTCTGTCCATTGGTCATTCATTGAGGTTATTGTGGAGCTGAGGTATTTGAATTTTTCTTGTCTCGGGAATGATTTTCCTTCTACGCAAATCCTGTTATTGGAGTGAGATTTTCAGCTTATTATAATATATTTTCTTTCATCATCATTTACTTGTACACCGAATTGCTTAGCATCTATCATCAGAGTCTTTGGGGGATCTCTCAGTGTCCTCTCGGTTGCTTGCAAGGACAGTTACATCATCTGCAAATCAATTGATTTTATGATTCATTCCAACGTGGACCGCTATATCTTATCACCTTCTCCAATTGTTTTTTTATCCAATCCGACGACATTACGTTACCATTTCTGATTAAATTACCTAACTCTGCATTTAACATCAGCGAAATTCTGTAATGAGCTAACCACTGTTCTGACTATTCAATACTTAACTTTTGAAAATATAAAGCATTGTTTACTCTTTAATCAATCGGAAAGAACCATTAATTACTAAAACGTTTTTTCATGTATTTGTTGTCATGGAATAAATAACAAAATAATGTTTAAATATAAATTGGGTAACCATGTCATTAATTAACATATGTAATATAGTTTCTAAATCATGAAAATGCACGAAATTAACCAAGATTTTGTCACAAAACACCAATAAAAAAATGGTGGCTTTTATTGGGTCACTCACATCTTAAAAAGTAAAAAATGAATATGTTCCTTCGGCTTTCAAGTAAGTAATATTAAAACTTTAACTTCGAAGTTTAACCTCAAATTTCTTTGAAATAATTGCGCTTTTGATACTAAAATAAACAAGAATGTCTTCGTTTATTAAAAATTATTGTGTATACTAAAATTTAAAATATGTTTATCTTAGTTGAAACTAACCTTAAAATAGACAAGCATTTTTTTAACTTTTATCAGTGCAATGGAAACTGTACAATTAAAGTCGCACTGACTATCGTTTCCTTGCAATTCTTTCTAATAACAGTACTATTATAGAAAACTATGTTGATATTTAATATTAAATGTTTCCTTTAAAACTATCAAGTGCTTAAAGACGTACAATGTCAACGTTGACGTACACTTGGCAACTTGTATACAAGGTTACTTCACTTGAAAATTATCTATAATCATATAAAAAATTTAATATATAATATAATATAAATATAATAAAAAATATTATCATTAAAAAAAAATCATTTCATATAATCCCGTTAGTTAGTTATAGTTATAGTTATGATATTATAGTTTAAAAAGGTTTAAATTTAAATTTAAATCAAAATATTTAATAAAATCCTTCCACCTACTTCTCAGTTTACCTCTCAGTAGAGTGGTAATTAAATTGTCGGTGTTGGAATTGCCAGGCGTGCTTATCTTCCCATCCCCCCCCCCAAGACCGATGGAGCATAAACTTCCTCCCTCCCTTCTCATAAGACATCTTATTGCTCACATCTTCTTAAAAACAGTTCAAGCTAAATTAGAATTTTTAAAATAATAGGTCATATACCATGACACTTACAGTGGTATTTTCCATGCTTTCCTGTTGTTCTCTGGTTTGTAATTACTCATTTCGAAAATTCATAACATCGTCTAAATGTGCCCTCCCTCCCTCAAAAATTCAAAACCTTGTCAAAATGTGCTCCCTCAAAAATTCTGATAGGTTTCCGAAATTTTCTTTGGTTGCATGGTGAAAATTTAAAAACTTTAGAATGTAGGTAAAAAACATGAAGAACTGTAGATAAGATAATGGTTTTATAGATTCTAGTTTTTAAGTTCCGGGACAAGAGGCGCAAGCTAAGTAGTTTTGTCACAGAAAAATAATAAGCATTTCCGCCTTCAGTCTAACCTTAATCTCCTCCCCAATTTCGTTTTTTTCTAGTTATCATAGACCTTAGATACCTAAACTTCTCTACATGTTCTACATATTAACTTCTATATCAATAACACCGACAATATCTCCATTTTTGCAGCTAACCATATTTTGTCTTATCCGTGTTTATTTCCAGTCCTAGTTCTTTACTGGCTTTCATTAACGTTGTTTTAGTTTTAAAGCTTCCGTGTCTTTGCTTAACAGGACCAGATTATCCGCATAGCTCAGCACGGGAGTTGTCCCACCCAGATCCAACCCTTTTTCGGAACACATTACCTCCTTCTAATTGAACACGACAGTCGAAAGGGAATCACTCTATTTTAAACCCGAACGAACCTCAAACTTTTCGGATAAATTATTACCGATTCTAACTTTATTGATTGCTTCCGTCAAGCACATCCTGACTAGATTAACTATTTCTCTTTGGAATCCCCTGCTGGATTAGAATATTATACAGTTTCTCGCGATCAATAGAATCGTTAGCCTTTTTGAAATCGATATACAGGTGGTGAACAACACCGTTGTACTCTATTTTTTCTACAATATTTGACGTAAAGAAAATATTTGATCAATAGTCGAACGATTCCTTCTAAATCCACATTCGTATTCACCGATAATTTGCTCGGCGTATTCCATGAGTCGACTATTTAAGATTAAAGTGAATATTTTAAAACATACAGGAAGGAGTGAAATTCCTGGATAGTCAATCCGTCCTCGGGCCCTTTTTTGTGAGTCGGAATAAGAATAGATTCTTTCCTTTCTTCAGGCAATTATTTATTCTTCCATATAGTTTTAACCAAAAAATCTATTTTTATAAACTCCAGCTTCGCCATATGCCTTAATTAGTTGACTAGGAATATTATCTGTTCCTGCTGCTTGCTATTTTATTATATAATAAAATATAATATTATGATATAATTAGTTGTACTTAATTGTTTTTTCCAATATCTAGATCTGCTCCCTTAATGCGTTCCTTCAACATCTTTCATCATTGGTCTCCAACAACCTTCACCTCCTTTCTTGTTTGAAACGTGTTTCCTTCAGAACGAAATTCAGCAACATTCTGTTTGAAACTCTTCGACTTCCTTAAATATGGATTACAAGAAGTACTGCGAAGAGGCTATCCTGAGGGAGCCTCCGCTAACGTGTATCCCAAAGGTATACCTGCCTTGTCCTCACAAGTACTACAAGAATAAGGTCATCAACAGAGCGACACTTACACACGACCAGCACACGAACCTCCTGGCCACTCCGAAAGGGTAAGAGCTTAAAACCATTTTGAATTTTCACAAACAATAAGGCCTGTTATGAAACAAACACAGTTCATAATCTTCAATATTTAGGTTATTCTAGCATATCGAAAGTCGATAGTACATGTTTTTAAAAATCTTTTAAGTACTTGCAAGTGGAGTAAATCCCCCCAAAAATATATATTTCATTGTGTAATATGTGTATAATAAATGGGCTTTTCCTCTTAAGAAACTTATTTCCAAATTACAGTGTCATTTATAGTCATTTTTATCAGTTTTTGACAAATTTGGTAAAATTCAGAGTTGGTTGACCGTGGTTTTATACCGTACCACGTAACCTAATTATAAATTTTACGTACTCGTTCGACGCAAAATGTAACGTTATTTAATTATTTAAAGAATACATTTTTCGTTTTGTTGCATCGTTTAGGAGGTATAGGTAAAAAAATCTGACTTTTTTGCCTCAAAAAGTTTTCCCTTAGTATTAGTAGTCCGCATTAGAAATTTCGTTTTTTACATGCTATACCCATATATAGGTATTTTTCGAAATGGATTTCCCGTTTCAATCCTCCAATTACTGCCCTAATATTATTTAAATCAGTCGCCATTTCTGAAAGCAGCGGCTCTGGACTGGCAGACAAGGTTCTTTTTACTCAGAATAACATACACTTTCGTAATTTACAATCAAACCTTCGCCTGCGTTGAGGTCGAATTTTGGGTCCTGGCTCCAGGGCTAATATATGTAGGCATCGATTCAGCTCAGACGACAGCAGCTCTGTATTAACTCGCCAAAATACATAGATCACATATCTTACGTTTTATAAATATTACTTTATTTATTGCTGAAATTATATATTACACGCCCTTTTTTAAAGGTTTACCTGGGACAAGAATACTGGATTAGCAACTCCTCCAAAAAATGTTATGGAAGAAGATGAAAATGGAGAACCGAAAAATCTCGTTCGTTGTCTCGATCATAGGTAATGTGATGAAATAAAAAAGATAACCTAAAACTTTTCCAATAATTATTAGTATTCTAAAGGGGACCCTACACGGTCAATCGGAATTGCACTAATGACGTTCCGAATTGTCGTGTAAGGTAGTGAATGAAGTACTGATGGTGGTGCGCTGCGGATTTCTGAACATCCGGAAATCAAAGGTTCATTCACGAGAAGTGGAGGGGGGCTGAGGTAAAAGTAGTGGGGAGACTAACCATACTGCTGGATAGGTTAGGTTACCTAGGCCTCACAACCATTATCAATTTCTGATTTTCATTATATGTAAATAGTTAAATAATTTTTCATATCCATTGTTTATAATTTTAAACCATCTTCAACTATTTCTTTTAAATAGTCAAGTGGGCAACAAATTAAAAAAAAAATGAGGAAACTTCACAATTTACTTTAGGAAAAAAAAAACTTTAACGTTGGGTATGTTTGTCAGTTCTTTTCCCATTTTCCTCAACAAATTTATTATTTTCGCAATACCTTTCCTTAATTTTTGTAAGTAGTAGACTTATATTTTACTAACTTTTGTCAAAAACGATTTTCTATGAGACTAACCTTACTACTAGATAGGTTAGTTTACCTAGGTCTCGTTATTAAGTAAATAGTTGTTTATATCCCTAGTCTATATTATTATTAACCATTTTCAACTATTTTTTCTTTAAATAGTCAAGTAGGCAATAAATTGGAAGAGAAAAAAAGTGGAAACTTCACAATTTACCTATAGAAAAAAAAAATCTTTAACTGTTGTGTTTATTTGTCATTAATTTTTTCCATTTTTCTTAACAAATTGATTATTTTCGCAATACTTTTCATAGATTTATGTATGTAGTTGACTTATATTTTGGACTAACTTTGGTCTAAACGATTTTCAGGCACTAGAAAGTAATTATTATATCTCCGTTTTTCTCTTGATGCCCAATATTATAAATGACAATGTCCAAATAAGCATATCTATGCTGTTTCGTTGTTTACAACTGCGCTAAATTGGTCAGCAACGATCTAACCTAAATCAGCAACGATAAGTAATGATCAGTAATGATTGAAAGTGTAAGGCTCTTCATGATCAAAGCGATAGCGGGCAATCTTGGCACTTCTTGTGACGTTCATTCATGAATTACCGTGTAGGGTCTGCTTAAAAACGAGTATGATATTCATTTGTGTAAAAATAATCTAAAAAAAAAAAAAATCTGGTGGGTGTCCACTCACACGACTTTACTACCGATTTAAGAAAAAGAAAAAATTAAATTAGTTTTATTTTACAAAAAATTGATCAAAGATAAGTTTGACCACGACTTCTTTTATAAACTAAAGCAATGTAAGCCGGCTTGTGGAAGTTCAGCGTAAAAAATTAAATTCACTCTAATATTGCCAATCAAATTCTTTGTTTCCATAGCCCAATTTTGTCATACAATAATTTCTATTAACAGTAGAGGGAAAGTGAAACTTGTGTGATGGAGTCAACAGATTTTTTACATTGAACATTTTTGAAATTGAATAGCTGTAACTTGATTAATAAATGATGTAGAGATGGTTGAGAGTATACTTTTTTTCTTAGATCTGGTAGTAATAAAGATAGAGGAAATAATTTGTGATAGGTTAGTCATGTGTTCGTCAGTCATGATGGTTTGTAATAATTGATTGATAAATTGATTAATAAATGTCCGAAATGAACGACTTTTATATGGTTTTGTAGGGAATTTTATTACTTGTCTCACAAGTATTTTGCTGTATTTGTGTCACAGAGATAAGTAGTCAAAACTATACAAAATAAAAACAGAAGCAACAAAATTGGTCTACTAGTTCCCGGGATAATCTTGGCACAAACAGACAGACAGAATGGCTGAAAATGTGTCTTTTGGATTCAGAAGACTCTGAAACGTATCGATCCGTCAAAAACCGCACTTCAGAAATTTGACTAGGTCGCAATACTTTCCTTACCTAATATAGGTAGCAAAGCAAAAAAGATTTGAATTTATTTTTACGCCTTGATCACCAAATAAGTTGAGACATCAAACTTGTATATTGGTTGCGACATTTCTCAAGATTTTCCAATTATTTCTTAAAAGTAATTAAGTTTTAATATTTTTGTTTTAAATTATATCTTGAAGAATTGTCTAAAGACTGAAGAAGTAAAATAAATTCCAATAAATAACATCAAATTGTCTTTATCCTGCATCGCAAACTTATGACTCCCTGTCCTACAGTATCCTTTAACCACTCCCCACTTATCCCAGTTAAACAAATTCGTTACCTAGGACTCGACCTACATGGACAAACGACTCACTTGGAATCCTCATACCAGACTGAAACGACAAGAAACCGCTCGACGTTTCCGACTACTTCAACACTTACTAGACAAAAGCTCTAAGCTTTCAATCAATTACAAAAGATTAATATGTATGACAATTATAAGACCTATTTGTACTTGCGAAATTGAGCTTTGGGGCTCCACTAAACCATCGAATTCCTCTCGTATCCAATCCTTAAAATCCAAAATCCTTCGTAAAATCCTCAACGCTCCTTACTTTGTACAAATAAAATCATCCATAACGATCCTAATGTGCCATCTGTTTCCGATTTGGCGCAATCCAGATACCTATCCTTCCATAATAAACTTTAGAATCATCCCACCCCTCTCGTTTCTAACCTTGCTTCCTTCTCGAATCCTGATAACTCGCCGAGGCGTCTGAAAAGAAGGCGACCTCGTGATTTTCTTGTGTAAATTTATTATTTGAGTGCTACCAGATTTCTCAACAAACGATTTCATTTATTTACTGGATATATATATTTTTTAATACAGTTATAAATATCGTTAGTGAATAAAAAAAAATTAGAATGTTTAATAAAGTATTTAAGTAAAAATACATCTAGTAAATGTGAAAAAATGAATATGATGATATGAACAGATTTTTGATAAACTAAGCACTGGTAGCATTCTAAAAAATATATATATATACATTAGGTGATCGTGGGACCATCTTCTTTTCAGACGCCTCGGAGGTTTTTCAGAAATAGAAGAGGAAGCAAGGTTAAAAACGAGAGTATTCGAATGATTCTGAAACTTATTATGGAAGTATAGGTATCTGGATTGGGCCGAATCGAAAGCATAAGGAACATTAAAGTCATTATGGATTATTTTATTTGTGACAATCATGAATATGAGTCTTTTGTAATAAGCGTTTGCATGGTGAATGTTGAAATAGTCAGAAACGGCGAGCGGTTTCTAGTCGTTTCAGTCTGGTATGAGGATTCCAAGTTAGACATTTGTCCACGTGGAATCCTAGGTATCGGATTTATTCTACAGCGATAAGTGGTGTGTTATTAAAAGATACTGTAGGACAAGAAATCATAGATTTACGACGGAAAATAAACATGATTTGATGGAATGTATTGCAATCCTCCAGTTTTGACAATATTCAAGATTTATAATGTGTGATTGAAGAGTTTGAGTTAAATTAATGGATCGTTATTAACTAATAGGACATTTTGTCATCAGCGCATGCGTGGTGATAATGTGTGATTCTCATCTTAGGAGCATGTTTCAGTCCATCACAACTTTTACGTGATTAGTTATGACTAACTTGATTTTTTTCAAGTATATTATTAAAAATCGGTGTGAGTTTATAATTACTTAAGCTAATAAAATTACTACGTATTGTCTCACTCTCAGTTTTTTAGTAAACAATTATTTTTTTCCTTTCGAAACCATTGTAAAATTACAGTGAAATTTATTTCTTCTTCTAAAGAATAATTAGGGCATTTTGAATTATATATTTTTTCAAACTTTTGTTAACAGCGAAATATGCATTTTCAAATATTGCCCCCATCACTTTGATTTCATTACCAAGCAAAAAACATAACACCAAATATATTTTTCTTTATTTCTTAATGATATTAAAAACTGTATGAAAGAAATACATTTAGTAATGTAATTTGAACATATGGATATAATGACGTGAAAATACTTGTTGAGAAACAACCCAATGGTAGCACTCTAATGATATGTCTACATTAGGAGATCACATCTTCTTTTCAGACGCCTCGGAGGTTACCAGGAATTAAAGAGGAAGCAAGGTTAGAAACGAGAGGGTTGAGATGATTCTGACGTTTATTATGGAAGGATAGGTATCTAGATTGGGCCAGATCTGAAACATAAGGAACATTAAGGTCATTATAGGTGGTTTTATTTGCAACAAAGTAGGTAGCATTGAGGATTTTACGAAGGATTTTGATTGTAAGGTTTGGATACGAGAGAAATTTAGTAGAGCCCCATAGCTCAACTCCGTAAGTCCAAATAGGCCTTGTTATAGTCATGTATATGAGTCTTTTGTAATTAATTGGATGTTTAGATCGTTTTTCTAGTAAGTGCTGAAGTAATCGGAAACATCGTGCGGTTTCTTGTTGTTTTAGTCTGTTATCCAGATATTTAAGCGTTGAAAAGAGAGAACAATGGGGAAATTTCTTCAGTGTTGTAGTAGCCATGGAGTTAAAGGACAGCCACCAGCGGATAGACCGACCAGTTGGGTAGCTTCTACACATCCGTTTCTTATACGTTGAGTATGTAACTTTATTATTGACATTTCCACCGCGTATATCATCTTGCTACTTGTTCAAATTATTTCATTTATTGTAATTCACGTTTGACTATGGTTTGTAGCAAGTTAGTTGGAAAAAAAAATTATAATACTAGTTACACAGCGGTTTTGGCCGAATAAAATACTTGAAAATGTCATTACCATGTCGAAAACTCGTGTCACTCCCACAATCTAATTATAAGCCTTACGTATATTAATTACTGAGCAAGAAGCACTTTTGATCTTGGCCATTTGCTCAGATAAAGCTGAGCAACAATAGAATTTGTAGGTATTTAGAAAATTGTATTTGAATGCCGTCAAAATTATTAAAATTTTATCATGAAATTGGCCCAGGTAATTTACTTTTTAGATATTAGTTTTTAATATATTAATTTGATTCAAATTCCTTAGGTATGTGAGAGACTTCGTGACAGATACCTGGAATGTAATGACTCCAAAGTATAGAAGAAAGCTTGAGAGGATTCTTGTGAAGGATTTCAATATGACTAAAAAGTAAGATGAGAAATTTATGATAATACCTGAGGTTCATTCCGTACCAATTCAATACACTGCCTAAACTTCAACATCTTAAATCTTTTTAAAATTTGGCTCAGGTGTACTATTAATACAGACTTGGAAAAATAGGTTAAAAGCAACGTTAAGTGACCCTGTACCAGTACCTGAAATCCCTTTTGGAAAAATAGCAATAAAAAGATTTCAGAACCTCTTAGACCTCTGTTTCATAAATTTATTGTTTATTTATTTTCTCATTGTATATTTATCTGATTTACTTTAGTCTTGCCAGAAATCGCAACCGAAATAATGAGTGACAAATTAGGAAGGTCCCTCACGGTCCATTTACTGTCCCAGGAAGAACCATCTGTCAGTAGGGACACTACACTATACCTTAGGTTTGCCATTTTCTCTTAAACTACCTAAAGGTGTCCTTCAAAAATATTGAGCTGTTTGGCATGACCTACACCTCCAAATTTTCATGTAACAGAATTGTCAATTTCATCAATATTTATCCCATTATTAAAATATTTTTTTTAAAAAGAATATAATAACACATAAACAGAGATTTAAATCTCACTTCCTCAGATGGCCTTCATCACAGAAAACTTTAAGTTTTTACATTAAAACGTTAAGTTTATTAAAGTCTCCTTTAATGGCTCAGAAATGAACCCCGATATGTTAGTGGTCATTTTTCACAATTATGAATATATCAGTTTGTTTTAAAAAAGTATAGAGCGGCTCACCATTCTAAGAATAATTTAAAACATTTCCACAAAAGAATTTTCTTTTTCATGATCCCTAATGGTACGCCTGTGCTCAATTTTTATGAAGTTTGAGATGCTGAGATCCGTAATGTTCTTTTTTTTTTTATTTTGTTTTGCATTGATATTGAATGACTTATCATCTATGTTATTATATAGATAATTATTTTCATATTTATTACAGGGAAGCGAAGGAATTCATTAAAGAACAAAAGCTTCGAAGTGCTTTCTCCCAAAGGAGCCATCAGAGCAGGGTTTATCTCAGTGAAAGACACGAATGGGTAAGAGAAATCGCAGACACTCTCGCCGATAAGATGACGGGCTATGTGGAGGAAATGATGAGCGCAAGAAGAACTCCGAAGGTTCGGATAATGGCAGAGACCATCCTGGGAGGGTTCGGGGATCTCACGGGGGAGCGCTGTGATCTCAACAGCCCAAAGAACCGAATCCAAAAGATGCAAGTGTTTGCATCAGATCGGTTGGCAGTTTGGTTGTCGAGGATTTTGGGCGATTATGAAGAAGAGCTCTGTCGTGATATTTTGGTAATTCCTGATACAGATACTTCTGACGAGGAAGATGAAACGCCAAAAAAGAAAGATGTCAAAGACAAAACCAAATCTGAAGAAACCGAACCAGATGAATCTAAATCTGAAGAAACCAAACCAGAAGAGTCCAAAAATGAAGAGGCTGAACCAAAAAAGGATAAGACCAAACGAGCTGAAGCCAAACCAGCAGAGGAAAAACCAGAAGATGAAAAACCAGCAGATGCCAAACCGGGAGAGACTAAACCAGCAGAGGAGAAACCAGCAGAAACCAAACCAGCAGCGCGTAAACCAGCTGAAGCCAAACCAGCAGCGCCTAAACCAACAGAGGCTAAACCAGCTGAAGACAAACCAGCAGAGCCCAAACCGGGAGAGGCTAAACCAGCAGAGGCCAAACCAGCAGCGTCTAAACCAGCAGAGCCCAAACCAGGAGAGCCCAAACCAGGAGAAGCTAAACCAGCAGAGGCCAAACCAGCAGAGGCGAAACCGGCAGAGGCGAAACCAGCAGAGGTGAAACCAGCAGAGGTGAAACCAGCAGAGGTGAAACCAACAGAGCCTAAACCAGCAGAGGCCAAACCGGCTGAAGCCAAACCAGCAGAGGCGAAACCAGCAGAGGCGAAACCAGCAGAGGTGAAACCAGTACCGCCTAAAGCAGAAGAGACCAAACCAGCAGAACCCAAACCGAAATAACCTTAAGCCGAAAGTAAGCTACCAAAAACAAACATACAAAAATAATCATTAAAATGAGACATAACAATCTCTTTTAAGTCAAATTCACCATACTTTAAAGTATTTGCAGAAAAACGACTCTAATGTTGTGATTTCCGTCCTGTCATTAAGTTTGTTTCAATGTGTAATCGTTTGCGAAATCGAGCTAGAAATGCAAGGAGAGTCCATGGGTTATTATTTCCAGAACAACGGATGAGGTATACCACAGATGTGCAACCCCCAATACAAAGAGTGTTTTTATACCAAATCCAAAGCTTGGCTGCGGACCAACATGGCTGCTGGATACCACCTGGTCCACAAATCTGCATCACCTCACTCCCACGCTGTTTACATTACAAGCGGTTTGATATATTTTGTAAGTTTAATGAAAACGAACTCAATATAGTTTCTCAAACAACCATTAAATGTGAAGTTATGTGCAAAACGTTTATTTTATTAATTAATTTCAAGCTCTTTATTAAAAATTAAAATGTAATACACAAACAATTGATCTGTTAATGGCAGTGTAAAATGTATTTCCTTATGAAAAGACGTAAATAGTTGGAATTTTCGACTGTCAGTCATAACTGCTATATGTGCCACAGTAATACAGTCACATATTTAACTCAAAGGCTCAGACTAATGGGGATGAAGGGGCGATAGCTCCCCACCATCAATAATATGAAGTACAGAAATTTAATAAAAAAAATAAATAAATTCAATAACAAATAGTTTACATGAATGAATAAAATACATAACCCTTAAATCAATCAAGAAAACAGGAAAAGTCAATTAGATAGCTAGGCAAAGACCCAGTAGAATGCAAGTATTTTACAACGTACAATTTAAATTCCTATTTATATTAAACATAATAATATACTTGTTGCACCGTACGAATAGTATGCTGATCAGTGAACAAATAACAAATTAATATGGAAATAGGTTAACAAAATGTATTTATGAACAAAAAGTTTTCCTATCCTTGGATGATTGCAATGATTTGTCCATAATAACACCACTAAAACATCTGTAAAAATTGCAATGGACCATATCCTTGTTAACAATGCTCTAATATATATATATATATATATATATTATTTTATTATATTTATTTTTTTTTTCCGGTTGGCTCTACAGACCTTGTAGATCTTTGGTCCCCTGAACCAGCCTTCTCCACCTCTGCCTATCTTGGGCTACTGCTTTCCTGTTTGCTGCATGAAGCTCAGCCGTATATTTTTTTATCGTATCTATCCATCTGGTTTTGGGCATCCCACGTAGTCTCCTGCCAACTACTCTGGCATTCATTGTCGTGTAGAGGCGTCCTGATGGATTATTACGAGCTACATGCCCTGCCCATCTTAACCTCCTTGCCTTCATGTCATGAGATATTGACTGGCCCGTTTCTTTCAACAGTTCTTTATTGTTCCTTTTCCTCCATGTGTCAAGGTTCTGGTCCCATTTCGGTCCTGTTATCCTATGTAGTACTTTCGAATCTCTCAATTCTGGCTTCTAATGTGCCGGTTAAAGCCCAGGTTTCACAACCGTACAGCAGAACTGGCCTAATCACGGTGTTGTACGCCCTTATTTTGAGATTTCTAGAGATTTTTCTGGATTTCAGTACCTTTGAAAGAGAGAAGAAAGATCTGTTCGCACTTATTATTCGTTGGTCTATCGCTGTTAATTGATCATTTATTGAGCTTATTGTGGAGCCGAGGTATTTGAATCTGTCTACTTTCGGAAATGACTTAAAATCCACGCAGATCATGTTATTAGGGTGGATGTTTCGGCTATCATGTATTTCGTTTTATCTGCATTGACGTGTAGACCGATTTGCTCTGCTTATTTTAATAGAGTCCGAACGAGTCTCTCAATATCCTCTTGATTACTTCCGAGGACTGCTATATCATCGGCAAATGCTAGGATTTTATGTTTCATTCCAACGTGCACTCCTCCATCTTCGCGTGATGTTATTTTTATTACTTTCTCTAGTGCTAAGTTGAACAGCATAGGCGAGAGTCCATCTCCCTGCCTCAAACCCGTTCGAACTTCAAAGGCTTCAGATACGTCTCCTTGTATTAGTGCCCTGCATTTAGGATCATTTGTACACGTCTTCGTCAACCTCACTAATTTCCCGAGAACACCCAGCTCAATCATGATCTTCCAGAGACAGTTTCTGTCAACGGAGTCATAGGCTGATTTGAAGTCGACAAATAATGCGTGTACGTCCTAATCTACTTCCCATCGTTTTTCAAGTACTTGTTTCAGGATGAATATCTGATCTACACCCCTGAATACTTGAAAAGTTACTAAATTTAAATTTAGTAACTTTTCAAATATTCAGGGGTGTAACCGAAATTCTCAAGAATTACAGTCAAGATATTTTTATTGGCTTTTAGCCGTTTTTACACAAACACCTGGCTCATCCTCAAGGCTAAAAATTGCAAAATTAAAATAACATCAGTAAAATAATACATACAAAACTATAAGGATAATAAGAGTACAGAATAATACTAAGAACATGATAATGATAAGATGAAATAAGTAAGATAATAGTAATAAAGGTAAATAATAACATCAGCAAAATGATAAGTATAAAAATATACAATAATAAAAACGTTGAAATGTGATAAGGAAATGATTGTTTGATATAAATAAATGAAAATTTTAATTTATTTATATAAAAAAATAATCGCCTCCCTCCCCTAATAAAAATGTTGAGAGAGCAAGATTATCCACTGCTCCAACAATAATTTGAAGTAAAAAAAAAAAAATTCAAATTGATAACAAATAGGTACATAAATGAATTAAATATGAAAACTAAAATTGATAAAGAAAATAAGAAATGTCGAGGAGCTGGCCAGCCTAAGATCTGTAAGTAGGTACCAAACTATTTTATCACGACTCAAGTATTCCTATTATTTAAATTTTCATTTATATTCAGGGACATTTCTTTAGAAACATATCTTAGAATTTTATGATTCATTCACATCTCATGTGGGTATCTCCATTTTTACATGATTTTTTTATAAATTTTCAAGGATAAAGTTTAAAAAATATCTATCTATATTTAATAAGTACAAGTATAATGAATGTTTTTTTTTAATTTGTACTTAATTATTAAGATTGTGAAAACATTGTATTTTTATTTTAACGTTGAGCAAACTAAGAAATCGAAAATATTTTGCAGTTTTTAACATTACTCATTTTTAGCTGGAAAAGTTATATAAAGGTACCTATGTTATGAAGCACAACTTTCACTTACCACTCAACTTTGAATAGATATTATTTTCTGGCCATGTTGAGCTATTATAAAATTTTTGAATATTATTTTTAACTGAGCTAAAGCTAAAAAAATACAGCTATCAAATCATAAATACTATTAAAATAACAAAAGTCCTGTTTATTATATCACCGGTTGATTATGGATTATACGATCCGTTGATTATGGATTGTACGTCTATGAGTTATTAAACTGTTATTTTCCATTACAAAGTTTACTAAAACGAAGTTAATAGGTTTGCATTGTCTGTCATAGACAAGTCAAAAGTTGTCACACTAATTGTAAGTGGATACTGTTGTAATATCACAAAAAGAGATTTCATCAAACTATTCATTAATTTAATTTTCTAAAAGTTTACTTGATGATTTTTTGTAATAAACGGAGGATAGATACCTAAATATTTAAATATAATATTTTAGATCTGCAGTTATTAAACTACAGTAAATATATTTAAGGTTATAAACATATCTATAAAATATTCTTATATTTCATTTCTTCTTTCACACAAGTACAATGAAATAGTAATGGATACTGTTGGAGTATCAAAAAGGGAAGATCCATCAAATTATTCACTAATTCATTTTTCTAAAAAGTTAGATGACAATATCTCGGAATAAACAGACGTTGATACCTAATTATTTAATTATATCTGATTTAAATGTATTAAAGGTTATAAATATATGCTTTATAAATCCATGAAATGATTTTATATTTTACTTCTTCTTTCACACAAGTACAATGAAATAGTATTTTAAAGAATGGCATTGGCTTGATTCGGTGGATTTTAAATACTTTTTTTTCACTCAGTGAAATCCTAGAAAAACATTTGAAAGTTTACATATTGTAAGAAAATTTCATTTAATTTCTTTGGAAACATATGATTTAAGTTAAATAATATTAGTTTTCAATAATTATTATTTATAATTTTCCGTTACCTTCTACAACTTTCTGTATTAGATATTGTTTTTTCTAAAATTCTCCGCTTTCCAACGGTATATTATAGATATACCTTCAGACTAGTATTTCTGGAGATTCATTTTCCACCTGAATGACCGTTTTTATTATATTCTTCTTTATTAACATATCAAATTCTTTTAGCATTTTTTCGTAACTTTTAATAATGAGAGATGGTTGATTATTTAAAATAAACCATATTAAAGATAGTTGATTTTGTACATATAAGAGATTTTGTATATATCTTTTTTTTAGCCATTGTTTTTTTTATTTTATGTACAAATAAAGGTTATTATTATATTAAAGGTACTTTAGAGGAAGTCGCATATGAGCATTGGGCATTTAAGCCCTTTAAAGCGACATCAACGTGGATAAGACCTAAATGATATTAAAGACCACTTAATTATACAATGGTAATTGGTTGACTGTCGTGGAGAATGAAGAGAAGAATAGTTGGGGTGCTCAGTCAAAAAAAGGAAGCAAAAAATAAATTATAATATTTATTTTTTACATATGCCGACGTTTCTACCTGAAGTTCAGGCCTTCATCAGAGCTTAGAAAATAACCAGATAACAAGGTATGAGAAACATAAGTAATGATGGTAAAAAAGATTATTATCATTATTCTAACAATTTCATTTTACTTTATATCTATCTATTTTATTTTTCTAATAATTTTTTTTTTTTTTAATTTTTTTTTCTCATTTTTTATTATCTTTTTTACCATCATTACTTATGTTTCTCATACCTTGTTATCTGGTTATTTTCTTAGCCCTGATGAAGGCCTGAACTTCAGGTCGAAACGTCGGCATATGTAAAAAATAAATATTATAATTTATTTTTTGCCTTCCTTTTTGACTGAGCACCCCAACTATTCTTCTCTTCATTAATTATACAATGATACACTGAGTTTAATCAAAATCGTTAGAGCCGTTTTTGAGAACATTGTAAAAATGTGTTTCAGCGTTCATATAAAGTGGCACTTCCGGTTAGCCGATTTTAAAGAAAAAGTTACTGTCACATCTGGCCCATATACAAACCTTAAATACTTAATATCAGTTTCGTACTACTTTTCATCTATGAGCTATACCGTTAATACACACAGAGACTATTTTGCGAGTGTATAGGTAAGTGAAAGCAAAAAAAAAAATGGCTTACTTAAAAAAAACAACTTGGATATCCCACTTTTCTGTTGAACATTTTCCCATCGTTCATATGAATTTTGTAGCTATTAAGGTCTCCAATAACTCCTATAAATATTTCCCCCTACTCTACTACTCGGACACCCTTTATATATCGTACATACAAATATATAGACGATTGAAGAGAAGGATGGTTGAGGTAATCAGTCAAAATAAAAATGGCAAAAATAAATAATAATATTTGTTTTTACATTTGCCGACGTTTCGACCCTAAGTTCAGGTCTTCATCAGGGCTGATCAGAGCAAAGACTTGGAGAGCTTTATACGTTGATACATTGATTTCTTAATGAGGGATAATTATAATTCTTCTTCTTCTTTCTCTACCTCCTTTGTGCTTTTCAGCGTGGAGGTGCCTTGATCCATGCATCCCAAGCATTTCAGTCCCGAGCTAGAGCCCTCATATCTCCTATCCTCATACCTCTTTTCTGCCCGATCTGGGAGATGTACTCCATCCACGACAATCTGGGTCTTCCTCTTGGACGCTTTCCTTCAGGTCTCGCCTCCATGAATTTTCGTGGGTCCTGGTCTTCATTCATTCGGCATACATACCCGAACCATCTTAGCTGCCTCTTTTCTATTGAATTCTTTAGTGAGACAGCGCCTAGGTCGTCTCTTGTTTTTTCATTTCTGATCCGGTCTCTCCTGGTTCTGCTGGCTACCCTTCGAAGATATTTCATTTCACAAGCACTAACTCTGCTAAGGTGTTTGGTTAATGGGACCCAACTTTCACTCCCATATATAAATATGGTTACTACTTGTGAAATGAAATATCTTCGAAGGGTAGCCGGCAGAACCAGGAGAGACCGGATAATTATAATTAACACTCATAAATAAGCTTCATTTCATAAATAAATAAAAATCTTAACAACTGAAGATTTAATCTATTTTTGTTGCCTTGCTGCCATCTAATAAATCCGAACAAAACTATATGCAAAATTCTATTTGACTTATTTCGCTCTGATAAAAAATGTGTACCATTGGATCTGTGAATAATTAAATGTGATTGACATTAAAATTCTATTGAAATAGAATTAATCAGTTCTTCTTTTATTAGATGTTTTGAGCACTCACGTCTTTATTACAATAGCTTCTTCTTTAATATTCTCCGAACAATATAAAACATCTAGTGGCTAGTAGAATTAAAATCTTTCTAAAAAATTAGCCCTTATAATTTCTTTCATGGATCCTGCCATACAAGAAAAATTACTAGGAAAAGGTTCATAATAAGATTAAATAAAAAAGAAAATTGAAATTAAAATATTTTAATTTATTCTGAATACAGTTTTACTTTAAAATATTTAATCATAAAACTGAAATACTTAACACATTTAAACAAAAATGCTTTTAATAAATACATAAAAACAACTTTACCTAAAGTAATCGGATTACTTTCACCTTGAAGGCGTATAAAATGCATTAAATCTAAATTAAATTACATTTATTGAATCTACTGACTAGTACATAAACGTTACATGCACTTATCTGATAATACATCCACTCTTACGACAATAACATTTAAATATATTGCTAAATAGAAAATAAGATGTATTTATTTAATATTAGAAATGTACAAAAATATGATCTTAAAATTAACAAAAAAAGTATTGTCGAACATATTATTCCGAAATATTTAATAATAACCAAAATAAATAAAAATATTTTCAGAATTTTATTTTTTCAGAAACTCAAAAAGAGATTATAATAAAATAAAATAAATGAGAGAGCACCAGTAATACATTTTACAAATTATTAAAATATAAAGGTTCAAATTTGTAAAAAAGGAAACTTAAATTTTCTGAAAATTTATAGGATAAATAATAAATTCTAAAAATAAATTTGCTAAAATGATTTATCTGTAACTCAAAAACAAACATAAATATTATAAAATTAATTAAAAAATTGAAAAAAAAATTAATATGAGATAAAATGTGAGTAGTACTTTGTTATAGTAGAAAATGTTACTTAAACACTTTATTTAATTTTTCAGGGTGTTCCTATATACTGAATTAAATAAAAAATATGAGTTATGTTGAAAATATTTAACAATAAAACAAATGAGAATCACAAATTTATGTAACATGATATAAATTACACACTACTGTTAGTGAAAAAAGTCGTACATGAAAATTGAGTTTTCTAACAAGAGAGCATAATTGCATATTTTATTTCCTTATACTATTTCCAAAAGTGGCAGACTACTTATAGCAATTTCTGATTACAAAATGTCACCTTTATGAGAAATAGAGCAACCATGAAAAACTGTTACATACAACCTTTTGCGCTAACAGTAGCGATAAGCAAGTTTTAAAAAATAAGAATTAAAAAAATAAAATAAAAAGATAGCAGTGTTAAAAGTAAAAATTTACAAGACAATTATTCTTCTAACTTTTTGTTTACAATGAATTAACAAGAAAAATCAGCTAGCTTTAAGGTAAGAACAATAACTTTTAAAAATAGAATATTGTGAACAATAGACAACCTGAAGAATGTTTAAATGATTGGAGAAATATGTTAGATGGAATATGGAATTAAATACGGCAACAATTAAAGTAGAAGTGGATTTTGGAATTGGAATAAAAATTTGTTGGGCTTAACAGTGGATTAATAAAAAATAATAGAATCTTGTAAATTTAAGTCAAGACTTCAGATAAAAGATAAGGAAACAGTATCAATAGCAAATCGTCAAGTCTAACTTTCATTAATTTCAGAAGATGTTTAAAATATTCAAAATATCCATTTTATAATATTTTTGAAGAGAAATCGGTTGGATTTTGCAGTCAATGGAAGTGAAAAGTAAAAATAAATAAATAAATTTACTTTTATTTCCTTTGTGCCGATGTTTCGTCCTACCTTTCAAGCCTTCATTAGGGCAGCTCAAAGGATATCGGACAAGTAACCATTTCATAATAAATTGCTGAGAAAAAAATCTTTGTCCCACTATGATTTTAGAGCAAAACTGCGATGAAAACTAAATAAAACAGCTGACCACACCAACTGGGCACAAGATCATAACGATCATAATTTCGATGGAATTCCAAAAATATAGAACTGTATCTATAGACATTTATACGGTATTATTGACAAATTAAATTTAACTATAATTATAACCTCTAAAGGCATATCTTAATACGAGCAAGCGTTCACACCATCTATAAGGTATTTGCCAAGTATAAAACAAAAATTATAAAAAAATCATAACACAAGTTATTAATAGACAAATGAAATTAATAATGTTATAAATGAACCTGATATCATGTAATATAATTTATATAAAACTATATATTCGAAATATGTAGTATGGATTAATTGGAATTGTTATTTTTTTTAAACCATTAATGCTTTAATTATAATTAGAACGCTAGTGTCAGACACTACGTTCTCTCGAAAAAAACAATGAAACTGTAAAGGATGTTTTCGAGTTGAGATCAGGCCTTATCAAGCAATGTTGTCTATTGTCAATGAAAATAGATTCTTTCCAACTTCAAATATCTAATTTCTAGCTTAATAATCAACGTAATTATTATGCTCGATAATCCAAAACACACAGGAAAAACATGATTATTGTTGGTAGGAAAATATAAATTAGGTTTATTTCAATTCAATTATTTAGATATCGCATCATTTGATATAACATAAACATTATGGTTAAATCGGTTCAAGAGAAATGTATGAATATTGGTCGATATTGTTCACTTATGGAGAAACTCAGCTACTTTCCAAATTTCATTTAATGTGTGATCAATTCGACTTGTGCCCTGCCGCCATATGGTCAACTATTTTCTCTATAATTTAAAAAAAAAAATTAAAGAATATGTTGCCGCTGAAAATTTCTGTATAAAACAAAATAAAATGTCAAGCCAACACGTCAGAAAAACCTATTCATATAGTCCTCATGATGTTCCCTTAAGACATGATGCCAATTATCAACATAGGCATACAATATTACAAGGTTTTAATAAATTATTAATATTATTTTTACAATCTATTAAACATAAGATTATACAATGCTAAAGGAAGACAGTAAACACTTAAAGTGCTATCATTACAACTTGCCATAGTTTTTAAATAGATTAATTTAAAATAAATAAAAAATATACAAAAAGAATTCATGAATTTTACAATGATTCTGAGGTATACATTATTGTAGAATTTCTTATCAGTTTACAGCTAACAATTAGAAGGAAGCATTATTTCTATACATTGATACCAATATAACTAAAGTGGTTATTTCTTCTAAAGATCAGGAATGTATCTGTCACTTTCTCTTCAATATCACAAACTCTTATCATCTTACAATTTCAAAAGCATCCTTTTAAATGATATAATTATAATAACGATAAGAAAAAAACTAATAAAAATAATACATAACACTCATTGGCTAAAACGCCTAATATATAAATATTGATATTCAGTTCCTAAATATCAAACGATAACTACGACAGTCTTAGCTTTGTTCGGTGTACCTTTGGTGTTGGTTAATCATAAAGAGAGCAATATGCAAAACGACCAACAGTACCACGGTATCTTCAGGCTTAGATGATCACTTCGTTTCTAAACCTTACTAAAACCTGCGGTACTATCCATTGTCTCTGTCATTGAGGCTGTACCTTTTTCTTCCTGAAAATCAAATTATATTAAGTGAGAATTATTACAATTAAAATATAAAAACATATAATGTAGTTATATAAACTAGAATTTGCCTAGTGGTCGAAATTCGACCATAATCTCTATTAACAATTTGAGGAAAACATAAATGAATTTCCATATTTCAAACATTTTTAACTTTTACTTATCTATATATGAAACATATAGGAAGGGTCAGTTTGCAATCGTTAAAATTTTCGAATCTGAGTTTTCAACGGAAATGTATGTTTTAAGGTCTCCTAAGTCCGAATTACCAAATCCTGCAAAATGGTCTGTGTGTGTGTGTATTTATGTGACCAATCTAGTTCAAAAACAAAAAGTCTTATGAAAGTGAAATTGCATATTTCAGGTATGTATTTACCTGAGATGTTACAAAAATTTTTTCGTCAAAATCGGCTAACCGGAAGTAGCACTTTTATATAAAGTGCAATCAATGTTACATAGTTGTGTGATGAGCGCACCAGATTTTTTTTCTACTCTAATATATTCGTATATACACATTTATATGAACTTGAAATACAAAATAGTGCAGTACTATTATTACACTTTTTGAGTTATTCGTAAATAAATCTGAATCTATTGTTACTTTTAAAAAAAACTGTTTCAACCCACTATGCTCCTTCGGTCGTTATGGATTGTTCATTTCAACATTGTAATTATATTATAGCAATATGCCATATAAATATATAAATTTCTCGTTAAAGAACTCTCCTAAAAAATATAAACTGGATGGATGTAATACAAACTGATGGAAAAAATATAAACTAACGTAGCGGCAGAAGATGCACGGTCCATCTTAAGGTACTATTTCGCTGAAACTGCTCACTGGAGTTGTTATAACCTGCCTATAACCTTCCAGCATTGCGATACGACTTTGAAGATAAAAAAATGGACTTACTATCTCTTACTACCACTTTTTTTATTAGAAGAGGAAATGTTGTTAATAAGAAGACGGAATATCAGCCATATATTCCGAACAAGAAAGCGGGAAGGGTATCATACAAAATTGATAACTACCCATTTGATGGCGGACGAAGAGAAATTTAGAAATTTTTTTTTATTGAATTAATGTCAATTCAATTTTGTTTTGAGCATGATAGAAAATGGTAGTAATTATTACATAATTGATTAGTAATAAATATCATATATTTGTAATGAAATCAGAGCAGGCGATGTTTTACCAATAGTAATCTATAAATCAGCAATTTAATCAAAAAATTCCAATCACTTTTCAATGTGTAAATTTTAGTATTTACCTGAAGTTAAATTTTGTTGAATTAATTAATTTATTTAATGTTGTTTGGATTTAGGTGGTATATATGAATTTTGCTGTAAAATACTGTTGGTGGAATAAATAAATAATCTTGTAACTTAAACTTTAAAAAAATTATTTAGTATTGCGTTGTTTAAGTTTTAATATATTTATATATAGCTAAAATTTAAATACATACCTGATTAGAAGGAGAAGGAGATGGAGGAGACTTGAGGGAAGGAGAAAACGTATGGTTAATTCCGTACGGTCGAAGATGGTATATCAAGTACTCCATGACGTACATCAAATCTGGGCTGACGTAATGAAAAGAAATAGCAGTGTCCGAGCAGCATTCAAAACCCTAAAACAAAATTATAATAATCTATATAAATTATCTCAGTTTGAATATATTATCTCTGATCTTGTTTAAACAAATAATATTAGTGTATCTTGGTATATTATTTTCAATAATAACTAATTCTAATCAACCAAGGAAAACAAAAAGTTAGGTCCCTTAATATTTGTCTGTCCCAGGCTTTTCTAAATGTTTTTGAGATTGTTAATCAAAGTCAGAAGCCGTCCAAGGATGATCCTCCTAACATAAAATTACTTTTCAAAAAGGTGACAAAAAGAGACCTGTCACTATTGACTGTAATGCAGAAACAGCTGTAACAATTAAATAATTAAACTTGCCTATAGTCTTCTTGAAGCTCTATAAATTAATGTACAAAAAACATACTTTCACAAAAAAGAAATTAGAAAAACAATTTATGATGAAAACAGAATTTTATTAGCTCAAAACATACACATATTTAGGTATATAATGTGTACATTGTTGTTGAATAGGTAGACTGTATAATTGTACTTGAAGTAAGAAAAAACAACATCCTTCTTTTTACAATCTCATTTATTTTATCTTATGGAGCTATCGGTCCTAAAAAACATTTTTCTGCTTTTCCATTATAGGAGGAGAGAGGACCCCTATTCAACTTCATGTTCTTATTTATGATCGTACTCTGACTTATCATAAAATTGTTTAGAAAAAAAAATCATCGAAATCGGACTACTTGGTGCACAGATGCCGTTCGAACTTTTCACTTTCATTTACTTATATATGAAATATATAGTAAAGGAAAGTATTGCAATCGCAAACATTTTTTAATCTCATTTTTCAACAGAAATACACATTTTGAGGTCCCCTGAGTCCAAACAACCAAGTTCCGCAAAATAGTCTGTGTGTGTATTAACAGTCCAGCTCTAAAACGAAAAATCGTACGAAAGTGAAATTGCATATTTAAGGTTTTTCTATGCTAGGGATGTCACAGCTACTTTTTCGTCAAAATCGGCTAACCAGAAGTAGCACTTTATATAATGGACTGAACACATTTTTGCGATTTTCTCGAAAATGGCTTTAACGATTTTGATTAAATTCATTATATCAGAGTAAAATTAAGCAGTTTTAAATAAAATGTAGTTTTTATTCTGATTGGTGTTCTCTAAGAAGGCTTAAATGGATCATTTTCAATATTAGCTTCCCATAAAGTACCGTAATTTGAGGAACCAAAAGAATAAGAGCGCACCCGAGCTCGCCTTAAAGATTATAACAGGATTTCATACGTAACATGAGCTTAATATTATAAGGACCACGACAATATTATGTAAATTTACATATGCGGTTTTCATAAATGCTATTGTTGGTATTATTTAATATTTAATTGTATATATTACAGCGACATAAACATTAAAATTTGCATATATATGGGTACTTATACAAATGAAAATACCCAGAATGTAATATAAATAAACATAGCATCTATAATTTTTCGTTTCACTTCCCCTTTGTCTGAAAATACCTTTTTCTGCTAAGAAGAGGGTGATAAGTGAAAGTTGTGATGAGCACACCACACCAATTTTTTTCATATGTTCTAATATGTACTGCTGAATCGACTTCACTGATTTTTTTTTACTACAACTCATAAACAGCATATCTATGGCATTAGTTGAGATTGTTATTTTAAGAATAATTTGGTTTTCTAAATTAAAAAAAAAAAAACAGTGGTAAAACATTTGATACATAACTGTTAGGAAATAATAAACTCTAGTATAATAATGTGTAGCAGTTTTTTTTTCCTCCATTATGAATGAATTATAATTTATAAACTGTATCAAGTCTTCCATCATGATAGCAGAAAAGAAAATGAGCTATATGGTGACTTAAAATTAAAAGCCTTGATAGAATAAAAATTTTGCCAGATAGAACGAACCCTCATTTTACTGGGAAAATTTTGAAATAATAAAATCCTTAAGCTATATTCAGGCAAATATGATAAATGTTTTTTTCTTTCTGACCTATCTTTCAACTTCCCTTCGATAACCTGGTCAGCGATGTCTTCACCATTATAAATAGTTTGTTAACCAAAATGATATGCGAATGAGACGTTACCTCAGGATTCGGGTAGTAGATCCACTTCCAGTACCAGAAGCTGGGGTCTGTGTGACCGGGAATAAGGTGGTGCTCTGGTACGAAGGGAAAGAACCTACCTCGCCCGAGGGAATCTCTTGTGTCCATCGCTCTTACGCCAACCTTCTCGAGGCACTTGCCTGGAAGAAGAGTACATAATAATATATAACAAATTTATTTTTATTAATAAAAATTCAAGAATTAATGAACAACATAATGCATGTATATTTTTAACATCTTTAAAAGCATTTATAACGTCGTGAGATTCTTAACCACTGGTTATAAATTTAATTTTTGTTCTGTTGCGATAACTTTAAAAAAGATTGAAATGTAGAAAAAAAGATTTTTGTTAATTATTTTTTTTTTACAATTGACCGAACCTCAATAAAACAAATCTATTTGAAGTAACATTGATACTTTAAACAAAATTCATATCCTTATCATTTAATAGACAAATAAAAAAATCTGGTGTGTATACTCACACGACTTTCCTACCTATTTCAGAAAAGGTTTTGTATCTTTACATATGTCCATCAAGAAACGAAAAAAAATTTGAATTAGATTTATTTTCCTGAAAATTGATCAAAGAAAAGATTTGAGTACGATTTATTTGATAAACTAAAGCAATGTAAACCAGCATAAGGTAGATCAGTGTAAAAATTTCAATACCTTCTAATATTGCTGATCAAAACATTTTTGCCACGGGCCTACTAGCATTTATTAAATGGATTTATAATTTTATACTAATATTCAATAAATTTTAAGTTATTCTGTAAATCTTGAATTTTTAAACAGAAGAATGTTGAAAATAGAAATAAAATAAACTTACCCATTTCAACATCTTCTGCTCCACCACCATCTTGGCGGCAGTTATCCTTGTTTGGTATTCCATCAACAATCAGCCGTCTAACGGCTTCCTTACTGAGGACGTAACCTGTGAATATTGTACAATCATTAAGTTTGTTTGGAATGAAAAATCATTCCTTTTATAAATGATTAAAATAAATGAAAACAACTAAATTTAAAGAGAAGAAGAAATTGAGAAAAGGAAAATTTAAATAAGAACTGAAAGTTACTTTTTCGTTATATTTATTATAAAAATAAAGGTCATACCTGCACCACCACTCATGTAACCTTGCTTCACATAGGGTTTGAACCGGCAACCGAAATAAACTGGTTCGGAAGTATTGTAATCAGAGAGCATGTACCGCAAATTTTCAACAATCACATATCTAAAAACAAGAAATATCTATTAGAGATCAAAGCGATGAAAGAAAACATTAGCAGGTGGCGAGTAGTATGAAAAATAAAATAAAAACACTGAAAATTATTACACGATGGTTTATTATTTCCACAAATTTATCCATACATCTAAAGTAACATAAATAAAAGGTGATTCTTATTATTGACTTAAATATATTGTTTTGTTTTTTTATCATTAGTAATTGGTAAGAAAAATAGAATCGCTTCAGTAACACGTTAAAAAAAAAAAAGTATGAATATATAATATATATATATATATATATATATATATATATATATATATATATATATATACATTTTTTGTGATATATGTTTGAAAAAATCTAAAAAAAAAAAAAAATAACCAAGGAACCCCTTTGATAACAAAAAAAAAAATATATGTAAAACTAACTTTACTTTTTTTATAAGGCGTATAAACAGTTTTTAAAAAATCTGGTGCACCTAACACACAGCTTTCACTTACCACTCTACTTTGAAAAGAAATTATTTTCTGGCAATGCTGGGTTATTATAATTTTTTTTTATAACAGATGCATTTTAAACAGAGCTAAAGCTTAAAGCTTACAGTTAACAAGTCATTAAGACCATTATAATTAAAAAATGTCTATTTAATATATCCACGACAGGCAATAAAAATCTAGTCACTCCATCTGCTTTTATAAACCATACAACTTTCTTTGTGAGGCCATATCTTTAGTCCTAGTTGTCCAATCTTAATGATTTTTTTTTTTGTTTTTTTAGGAAATTCCATAAACTCTTAAAAAACCATAAGAATATCACCAAAAAAGTGTATACTTTTTGAGTTATTGGGAATTTAATTTTACCATCCCTAGTAACTTTTTTCCAGGCTTCTTTTCGTTGAAGTATGTTATATAGATAAATTTAAAGGGTGCCGAGAAAATGACTTTAGCGAAGTTTTATTGAAATCGGTACATTCGTTTAGGCGCTACAGTCTATAGCAATGTAGGTTTTTCTGGATTTTTATTTTTTTTTCTCCTTTATTAACTTATCAAATTCTTTCAAAAGTTATATTTAGCATTTTTTCGTAACTTTGAATAATGTGAAATGATTAATTATTAAAATAAACCATATTAAAAGTACTTTAGAGGAAGACATATATGAACATTGGGCATTTAAGCCCTGTAAAGTGACATCAACGGGGATAAGACCTAAATGATATTAAAGACCACTTAATTATACAATGATACACTTTAATTATACAATGATGAGTTTAATCAAAATCGCTACGAACCGTTTTTGAGAAAATTGTGAAAATGTGTTTCAGCGTTGATATAAAGTGGCACTTCCGGTTAGCCGATTTTAAGGAAAAAGTTGCCGTCACATCTAAAGCATATACCTATCTTAAATACGTAATATCAGTTTCGTAGGACTTTTCGTTTTTGAGCTTGACTGCCAACATAAAAACACACACCATTTTTCAGGACTTGGTCATTTCGACTCAGGGTACCTCAAAACGTCTGTTTCCGTTGAAAACTCAGATTCAAAACTTACCCTCGATCGCAATACTTACCCTTACTATATATTACATATATACGTAAGTGAAAGTAAAAATACTGTAGCAAAATCAATATGCAACTAAATTACATTAACATCTATAAAATAAGTAAACCTCTTACGTATCGTCATCTGCTTTCATGAACCAGTCGGCTTTGTCCATGTAATGGTCGTAGACATGTTGGTAAGCTGCTTTCGTTTTGGCCCACAGGCTGTTCCTTCCTTCAGATACGGGCAATGCGATGGAGCCCAGCTCTTTATCTGAACAATATAAAAATAAAATCTAATTATTTATAATGAAGGAAGGATGAATGAATATATAAGATTTAAATAAACAGGAAATAAGCTTTAAAATAATAATCATCCAAAAAATTCAAAAACTTAACCCCTCACAAAATTTCAGGTTTTAGTATCTTTAATTAAAAAAATTTCAGGAAACGTAGAACTCGAAAATCAAATAAAAAAAAATTTTGTCTATCCACTGTCCGGGCATTTTCTCTGCGAGACTACTGGACCGATTTTTTCTTCTAGTTCCAAGTTCAAAGAAAATTTTCTTGTTCCAAAAAAACTCAAAACTACCAAGAGTTAAGATTTCCGTGATACCAACATTTTTAAAAAATATTCATTTTTCCCTTTCGAGCCCTGGACAAAAGATCAGAACACATAAGAAAAAATCTGGTGTGGTGCACACATCACACAACTTTCACTTACCAACCTCTTCTTAGCAGAAATAATAGACTATATTTATTTATATTGCATTGTGGGTATTTTTATTTGTTTAAGTACCCTCATATATACAAATTTTAATATTTATATCACTGTAATCTATACAATTAAATATTAAATAATACCAACAATAGCAATTATGAAAACCACATATGTATATTTATATAATATTGTTGGAGTCCGTATTATATTAATCTCATGATACTTATGGAAGAGTGTTCTAATCTTTCAGGCGACATTGGGTTAGCTTATATTCCTTTAATTCCTCAATTACAACTATTCTCCGTAATGATCTCTTATTTCTCCTTTAGTTATTTATCAAATTCTTTCATATTTTATATTTAACCATTTTTCATATTAGAAATTAATGTGAAATGGGTCAATTGTTTCAAATAAAAAAAATTAAAGGTACTTCAGGGGAAGCCAATATTGAAAATTAGCTATTAAACCCTGTTAGAGAACATCAATCAGAACAATAAGCATATTTTATTTAAAACTACTTAATTTTACAATGATATGAGGAATTTAATCAAAATCATTAGAGCAGTTTTCGAGATAATCATAAAAATGTGTTTAGCCCATTATATAAAGTGCCACTTCCGGTTAGCTGATTTTGACGAAAAAGTTGCTGTAACACCCCTAGCATATAAAAACCTTAATTATGCAATTTCACTTCTGTACGACTTTTTATTTTTGAACTAGGCTGTTAACACACACACACACACACAGACCATTTTACGGGACTTGGTAGTTTGGACTCAGGGGACCTCAAAACATGTATTTTCGTTGAAAACTCAGATTCAAACATTTTCACGATCGCAATACTTACCCTAACTATATATTACATATATACATAAGTGAAAGTAAAAATGTGGTACTATTAATCACAAAAATGTAGTTGTTAAATAACCGTTACGTTGAAACTACCTTCGACTGAAGACATGAAGAGAAGGACATTGCACCTCGGTCCCCAGGTTGCTTTGATGTGCTGAGCCTTCTTCTTGTGGTTGGAAGGCGATGTCATCACCCAACAGAGTATTCTAACCTTGGATGCCAGTTCTTGGGCCACCACATCCTCACCTGTCGGGCAATATAACTGTTAAATATTAAGTAGAAGCAAGTGCAAAAATCAACATAAGGTTGTATTGCAGGAACAGTTTTTAGTTGACATTAATTAAGGAATAAAATTACGAATACGTGAGTAGTAAACTGTTATTTATGGTTTTGTGTACCCTTACGAAACTACCTGAACAGTTAACCATGTTCTCTAGTAATGTAGCACTTTCTTAGGTATACTTCAGAAAGGTACAACCATGGAAAAATAGTCCAGGACTGTTTTCCTTGTTAGAAAACTATTCGAATATTTAAAAAAGCAAAGTTTTGTAGTGAATATAAGAATTTATAACATATTTGGCAATGGCCCATAGGAGTAAGGGCTAAATAATTAACTTTTGAAATAATGAAGAGAAGAATAGTTGGGGAGATCGGACAAATAAGAAGGCAAAAATAAATGATAATATTTATTTTGACATTTGCCGACGTCTCGACCTGAAGTTTAGGCCTTCATCAGGGCTAAGAAAAGAATACGTTTTGATGAAGGCCTCAACTTCAGGTCGAAACGTCGGAAAATGTCAAAATAAATATTATCATTTATTTTTGCCTTCTTATTTGACTGATCACCCCAACTATTCTTCTCCTCATTATTCACGACAGTCAACCATTTACCCACAATTATAACTTTTGAAATAATAAACCAGATTTATACTTACAGAGTTGTATTCTAGACAAATATTTTGATGTAAAACATGTTAATGTTTCAATTGCTATGAAAATAATTTAAGAATTTTTTGAGGTGCAAAAAACAAATCATCAACTCTGTTTCTCCCTAAAAATATATTTATCTCCAAATTGCCATGTGGGTAGATCAAATTTATTCCCATACTATATCGGTATAGTCTTTGATATATTCAAAGAACCTAAGTTAAATAAATTTATTTTTAAGGGGTTTTCACATGTTTTTGCAATAGTTTGAATTTAAAATTTAAAAACATAATAAAATTGTCGAACAACTTATCCCACTGATAAAAATTAGCAAATAAATTAATTTTCAAAATAATAATTCTAAATAGTTAAATTAACCAAATCTCTTTGTGTTATGATTCAGAAGCATTCAAGGATTATTTACTAAGTTTTACAGAGATTTTTCGCAAGTACTTAAACATTTTTTTTTTTCAAAGTGTTTTGAATTTAAGCTTTAAATTGAGTAAAATTTCATATTTATATATATATAAAGTTAAAATTGCATGATTTTGATGTCTTAAATTTTTTTTGTAATATTTGAATGTGTGAGAAACAAATAACAGGCTGTACTTTTATACACGCAACCGTTTTGTTTTCGAAACCTCAATAGATACGCATATAACCCAGTATTAAGCCAAGTTGAAGTGGCTCTATCCATCCAACCGTCTGTGCCTCATTGCCACCTTTCTATACCAAGCCATCAGAACTCAGTGACCTTCCTATATTTTTCACAGCCTACAATTCAAATATTCCATTCAATCCCGTCTTATTAGATCTCGTATCTCCGACCTCTATCCACCTCCCCACCGAACTGCAGCGTTTGACAAATCCTTTATAATTCAAGCCGTCTCCTTCTGGAATACCATCCCTCCCGATATCCGACATGTACAATCAGTTTCCTCATTTAAATCTCTCCTTTTTAACCACCTACTCCTTTCCCAACCCGATTGATCATGAAATATAGATGAGAGAACTTTTAAAGTTAACTGAACTTTTAACCCAGAAATGATTTTCTTTAATAGTTGCTATTTGCCACGTTTGTATTATACTTATCAGTATGTTTTTAGTGTAATAGTTCTATTTTTTGTTTTATTCTTTTTCCAAAATCTTAATCTTAATAAGAATTGTTAATAATTAATTTTATGAATGGCCACACAGGCATTTATTCTGTAACTGTAATTTGTCATAAAAGGACAACAGTCCCAGGATAATAAAAAAATATTTTCATTTCATTTACTATAGTATAAATTAAAATAGATTTTCTGAATTCTATAATATAGGCTCAAATATACCTTTATGAAACTCTTCATCATGAGAATGCTGATTAACTGCATCCCCAATGTTCACGACCATTTGGTCCATATGACTGTGATGGTGAGCATCCCGTGATACTAGCTGTTCCCTAAGAATGAATAGAAATAAATATATAATAAATAATAAATACAAATAACGATAATAAAACTATAAAATATAATGAATAGGAATATTCACTAATATTATTTTATTACCTTTGCGGAAATATCACAATATCTTTTATATTGTAAGAAGAGATCAGATGAAGAATAGAAGCGATTGTAAAACCGAAAACAATTCCGAGGCATAGTGTTAGTATGAAATTCCTGCCGATAACAGGCCTGAGACCCACTGAAACATATAAAGGTGGTGTATAACAGTATTTAAAATTAAAATAAATATTCATTTGTATTGTTTTTATATAAAATTATTTTCCATAGTTTTAAATTGTTGACCTTTACACTATAAGTGTATGACTCACAGGTCAGTATTTTAAAAATCAAAATTAACTTCTGATTATTATTTAGTTTATGTTTTGGTTTATTTGGTTTATGTTCATTGATATTTTATTTTTCAAAAAAAAAAAAATAATGGGTAAATCAATATGATATATAAGCTTGGTTTGAAATCTGATTTGGAATTTCTATTTTTTCTTTGTTCTCCCCTTTCTCGCCTTTTAGGCTATACACGGTTTTCCTGAGCCAGGGGATGAGGGCGGAGGGCTTAATGCCTCAGTTAAAAGATCCTCCAGCACCAGTAGGCGAACTCGTAACTGTGTTATCAGTTATAACTTCGGTTATCAGGTTGCCAGACAACTGTTAGCACGCTCGGACACCCCGCCCCCTTCCCCTTAGTATGAAGATGGTTGTTCGTAATTTTAATCTGAGAAGGAGTTGGTCGGGGATGCAGTCAATATATAATACTATCTATTGTAATTGTTTATACCAGTCTCCCAAGAGTATAAATTACCATAAAATATTATTATACTATTATAATAGTTAGTATTATATATTGACCGCACCAACAACCAACTCCTCAAATTAATGTTCTTTAAATTATATTTTATAAAATTTAGAAATATTTTTGAATTTTCACACCTTAAAAGAAAAGATATTGCTTCTATTACTGAAAAATATATTTTTTACTATGTTTTTTTAAAATAATATTTAATAATTTAATTTGATTAGTATTTTTAAAAATTTAATTTGATAAGTATCACTATTCTAGATTAAAATGTCCCTGTAATTTAACTCATCCACATACATTTAACTATTATTCGGCTTATAGTATACTTAATTTACCATTTTCCAGTTTAGATTTTTTTTCCTAAATTATCTTCTCACTATTTTTTGCCTATAAGTTGAGTCAATAAAATAATGACACTGAATTTTAACTATTGAAGAAATATTCAGTTTTGGAGAAAAAGAGAGGGATAACAAAGATTTCCAATAAACTAAGTGCGATAATTTTATTGAATCGACCGAAAGGCAAAATATAGTGAGAAGATAATTTAAGAAAAGGGACAAAACTGGAAAATTTTTGTAGTTATTGTTTTCTAATTAACAAAAAACATAGTTAAAATGACACAAAACTTAAACTTCCAGTAGAAATATTTCCTTTCGCTAACAAAACACTAGAATAACTATTAAATTCCTAAAAAAAGTAAGTCTGAATAGATTACCTTCCACCATCCTTACTTTCATGAAGGCATTGCCATGTAAAACTAAGAAAACTTTTCCTATTTTCTTAACTGATTTTGGTTTACATATTATATTCTTTAGTGCAACTTAATTTTTATTATATATTTTTTTTATATTTATTCTTGGAAATATTGGTGGAGGAGGGGCTCGTCCCCAGGAAGTCTGCTCCAATGATTGATATGCAATTACATTTCCTTAGAATGAATAGAAGTAGTTCCCGATTTCTGTTGAGGAATTTTTTAAAAAGTAAAAATATATTTTGATTGAAATCTTAATAGGATGTGTCTGTTATACATGATATGTTGATAGATTGTCTGTTATACATGATATGTTCTATATATATATATATATATATATATATATATATATATATATATATTTTAAATAATCATATAAATAAGCGAAGGAAAAAATGTTCAGTCTCTTTTTCTGAAAAAAAAAAAATCATCGAAATCGAAAAGAATCATATCTGATGAGATATTTTATTGCATTTTCTTCAGTTTATATTTATTAGGAGAGCTCTGACTAATTTATGTTTGGAAAATAGTTATAATATAAGTGCAACATTGAAATGAAACAATTTGTACCGACCGAAGGAGAAAAGCCGTTTCAAATATTTTTTGAGGGAGAAACATAAGAATTGAGATTGGTATTTTGAACCTCAAAAAAAAACCTGAAATTGGAATTTTCTTAGTAATAAAAAAAAAAAATTGTTTTGCTTTAAATTTTTTTTTGAGTGAGGAAAGTGGGTTAAAAAAAATTTACTATGGATCCACATTTTTATTTGCCTTTAACACAAAAAGTAAACAAATGGTACTGCACTATTTCTTTTTGTAAGTGCATATAAAAATGAATGTACGAATATACAAGAATAGAAAAACAATGTTGGAAACATACAAATTCATTTATGCTTTCCTTAAATGTTCAATAATGACAATGGAATTTCGACTACTATGCAGATACTAGTTATAATAAAACATCAAAGAGGAAAATAAATAAAGTTATTTCAATACAATTGAACAGAATATTAAAATTAGCTACCTTAATGATGAAATTGAATAAATCTACAGATTTATTACTCAATTGTAAAGACGAGATAATTTTAAATTTTGCTCTTAACTTATAATTATAGTTGTTTGTGTTTCTTTAAATAAAGAACTGTTTTTGTAAAAAAAAAAAAAAATCAATCTATGACATTTAGAATATTAAATTTGCTAATGATGAGGAAATACTGAATATCAGTTTTAGAACCTTATTGTCATCAGAGATAAAATAGAGCAGATGAACCAACAGCAGTAAATCATGAAGAATATAATCTGATCTATACAAAGATAACAATTTGCACTTCAATATAACTCGCTGAATCACTTCGTCTTTTTATGGCGTTTTAACGCTCACATAAATAGTTGTTATCATTACCTGTGATGTAATAGCAGTTCTATTTTATCTCCTAATTAAAATATTGTTCTAAAGGATATTGCCTCTTTGTTGTAATTACTTCATTAACATGTTTTAATGGAAAATAAGAACACCGACAAAGAATCCTCATTCATCCTATGAGTACTTATATTTCTACCTGAACACATTGATAGTTTGCTGGGGAAATTTACCTCTACAAAATATTTAAAATTGGTATAGAAGCCTTACAGTCCCATAGGAAACTAGAGTTGTTGACGGTGCAGTCCATTCAATGAATGATCGAAAAGGGAGTAGAGAAGGAAATGACGGGGACACAATTTTTACTTTCACTTACCTATATATGAAATACATAGTAAGGATAAGTATTGTGATCGTTAACATTTTCGAATCTGAGTTTTCAACGGAAATACATATTTTGAAGTATCCTGAGTCCAAATAACAAAGTCCCGAAAGATGGTGTGTGTGTGTATGTTAGTGATAAGTCAACCTTAAAACAAAAAGTCGTACGAAACTGATATTACGTATTACGATAGATATATGCCTTAGATGTTACAGCGACTTTTTCCTTAAAATCAGGTAACCCGAAGTACTACTCAACAATGAAACACATTGTTATAATTTTCTCAATAACCACTCTAATGATTTTGATTAAACTCAATGTATCATTGTATAATTAAGTGTTTTTTAATATCATTTAGGTCTTATCTCCGTTGATGTCACTTTACAGGGCTTAAATGCATTATGTTCACATTCATCTTCCTCTAAAGTACCTTTAATATGGTTAATTTTAAATAATTAACCATCTCTCATTATTAAGAGTTATTATATTTAAATATTTAGGTATCTATCGTCCGTTTATTCCGAAAAAACATCATGCAACCTTTTATAAAATTAAATTAGTAATTAGTTGGATGAAATTTCCTTTTCTGATATTCCAACAGTATTCACTTATAATTAGTTTGACAACTTTTGACCTGTCTATGACAAACAATGCAAATCTCTAAATTCCGTTTTAGTAAACCTTGCAATGGAAAATAACCAATAGTCTTACAATCCATATCAACCGGTGATATAATAAATAGAACTTTTGTTATTTTAATGGTACTTATGATTTGTTATCTGTAATTTTTTAGCTTTAGTTCGGTTAAAATGCAATTCGAAAATTTCATAATAGCCCAACATGGAAAATAATTTCTATTAAAAATTTGAGCGGTAAGTGAAAGTTTTGTGTTGCGCGCACCAGATTTTTAATATACATACTATGCCTGGCTGATCATACAATGAATGCTCTTAAATCTTTGTTTTTTTTTAATTTTCCTCTCTCCATCAGAGTAGCCAGGTACATATATTTTCTTAGCAACTTTCGTTCCAGGTGAATAGTTGTTTCCCCATCTCCTTTGTCAGGACCCATGTCGCATTGCCCAAGGTGATTGTTGTGAATAAGTGTCATGTAAACGATGATCTTAGAACTCAAAGATCTTTGAACTTCAAAACTTTGTTTACTGCAAAAAAAAACAATGATTTCCTGATGCTATTCTGGTCACTATCTCCTTGCGTAGTTTATTATTTTCAGTGATAGAATATCTTGCATAATTTCTGAGATATCCATCCGCCCTTAACTACCACTAATTCGGAAAAAAAATTACCCCATATTTTTAACTGTATTTGATTAGCTAACTCTTGATTGCTTCTTTCTAAGATTAACTAAAAAAAAAAAATAAAAACCCGAACCACTACAACCCATGGAGGGTCTTGGGTTCAGTTTTATTTAGGGAGAGCACTGTTTCTAGGTCAATGGTTGTGCAAGGAGGTGATTTGACCGAGATCACGCTCAACCGCCACGTTTTCCCCCTTAGTTAATTATTTAATTAAGGGTACCCACTTTATAGAGGCTGGGTATGCCCCAGGAGGGTCTCCCGACCCACAGTCGCCCCACGGCCAATGAAACAGATAAATAAATTTTCTGCCTTGAGCCGGGGTTCGAACCTGGGACCTTTAGCATTAGAAGCTCAGTGCCCTACCACTGAGCTACCCCATTTCCTTTTTTTCAATATAAGGGTCTTTTATTATGTATAACATAATGTATAAACCGATCATAATTGGCGTTAATTATGATAATACACACAAAATTACGCAATTAGTGCTAAATTCGATACTATGAAAATAAAATAAAAAACGCCTTTGATAACAAATAATGGATTTAAGCATCAAAGAACTCATCAAATAAATCGAAAAGAGAGCAATTAATGGTACGGCAGGTAGTATATTCAAAATCTATGTCTTCCATAAAATAATAATTGACTCATATATCAAAGCAATACGAAATGATACAATAAATCGATATACGATTGCGTATTTTTAAAATCGTAAGTACTTTGGTAAACAACGCCTTCTATAAAATAATAATAGGGAGTATATAAAAAAATGATCGTTTTATGAAATCCGAGATTTCATAGGAGTGTAAATATTTTAATCCTATTTAATACTTACCAATACTTAATAATATCTTTAGAGCATTCTGTAAACTTGTTTAATCCCCTTCGACTACTTAAAAAAAAAGTCTCTGTTTAGTTATTTGTTTCAAATAAGAAATATGACAGTATCTTACGAAATTCTCGTCATTTTAAGGCATTACTGGAAAAAAAAAATTCACAGCCGCTGAAGGAACTCGTGAAATTATTAAATATGAAGGGGAAGGTGTCCTTGACCAACGCACTGGGTGGAGTTGGATTGAAAAATTTAGCAGTGGAGATACGATGATGAAAAGGAAGAAGGGCTCCGGGCGACCATTAATGGATCTTGATGAGGTTCTACAGGAAGCACGAGTACGAAATCCGTCCACGAGTACTCCAAAAAGTTGCTGAAATCACTAGCGGATCCAGAATTTTATTTTGGGGAGGGAGGGCTTCAGCCCCAAACCTTTTTTTTTCATAAAAATAACGATAATTACTTTGGAAAAACAGAAAGAAACTAACTACCTATATGAAATGGTGTTTAAGTTATTCCTTAAGTACTTTTAAATGTAATTTCACGAACAATAATACTTTAAGAGGTATTTTTAAAAAAAAAATTCCCGTAAAACATGGTTATTTTTTTCCATTTTGGGGGAGGGGGGCTCCAGCTCGAAAGCCCCCCCCGTAGATTCGCCCGTGGCTGAAATATACCTAACATAAAAAAATCTTACACATGCAATTTCATTTTTGTATGACTTTTCGTTTTTGAGCTAGACTGTTAACACACACACAGACCACTTTGCAAAACTAGGTTATTCGGACTCAGGGAACCTCAAAAAGTGTATCCGTTTAAAACTCAGATCCGAGAATTTTGACAATCATAATACTTTCCCTTAGTAAGGGCCCCTTACTATATAGTTCATATTTAAGGGTAAGTTAAAGTAAAAATCCAACAACGGATTCGTTTGAGTGTTTTCTACATAAGAAAACATCTCGATTTACAAAAAAAATCGATTAGGGTTCGTTATGGTCCTAACTTTCTATAATTTGTATTACGATATTTCGTCTGAAAATATCTGCCGATTAAAAATACAGTATTCGTATGTAACTGAATGCAGCATTAGTATTCATGATTATATTTTTAACCGAATACTGCACAGCTCTGTTTCGACATATCATATGTGATTTTAAATTAACACATTTAGAACAGACACTGAACAGTAGCAAATCCATGATTTAATTTTTGGACGTTTTAGCCCGAGAGCTTTTTTTTTATAATAATTACACAAATAATAATACTATTAGGGATAATTGTATTTAATTTTTTCATAATTCATAGTTATATTTGGTAGCTGTATACGTATTATTATTTAAGAAGTATAATAGTAATTGTAAATATTTAGGTTATATAGCTCACGGTAAAAAATAACCTACGAAAAAAATAAATCCCCATCCCCCATCAATCAACACATTATTACAGTAAGGCTGGAAATCGGTTTAGTACCAAATATAAGCTCCTGCCATGCTCAAATAACATGCATGGGGTACCGTTGGATTCAGAATTTCAGGGAGGTTAGCGAATCGTATTCTCCACTTTTGTTTTTCTTTCTAAAATAAATAAAGTCGATACAAACATTTTGCTAGGCTTCAATACTGAAACGGTGGTAGGTCTGTATATCGATAAGGGACAAATTTGGGCTTTAAAGATTGTGGTGCGCGCAGCAAAACCCGGATAGTTCCTTCGGAAATATCGGATCCTGCGTTTTTCGAAATAACGCAAGGCATAGGGTTCGCATCCACACAACCTTACGTTAATTGTAGTACTGTCATTGGATACATGTTTCATTTCGTCGACTTGAGGTCTTTATGATCGAGAGAGGAGTTTATATTATTTATCGATGGTGTTTTTGATCGGCAAGCCATATCATCGTTAATTCTTCACCAAATCTCAAGATTGAGCCAACAATTTCGAATGCTTCCTTCTCCTTTAGGCGGACAAAATAGTCCAATCACTCCGAAAATTCAAGCAAACAAGTTATGAAAGAAAATAAACTTTATTTGTAAATAACTAAAAAATTACACACTTTTTCCTGGATTATGTTTATAATCATATAAAATTCCCTACAAAAGTAAATAAAGAATCATCGAAATAGAACAATGTTTAGCAAAGATACAGCTCACTGAAATTTGTAAACATGTTGGTTTCAAACATTAATTAATTTTTGTTTCCTTAGTCGATTATATTTATCGATAAAGTAACAATCGATTTCTTTATCTTCTGATACGTTGTATTATTTTATTTTCTTATTAATTTGTCATTTGATCACTTAACAATATACTGTGTGAATTTTTCGCACGGGCCTACTAGTCTTTAATTATTAAGATGAGGCCCGTAAGAGTTATACGTGGTTCACAATCACTTCGGCCACACTTGTTTATGAAACGTCGAAAAAGGTCTTTCGGATAATAATACCTGGATGCAATCAGCACTCCATGAACAAGTGTGATCGAAGTCAGTGTGAACCTCATCTAAATAATTACCGAAATTATTTCTATTTAAGGAGTCTTCAGAAGGAAAGTCCTGTCCTATAATTCTGCCAGTAATCAATGAATTTAAATGCATTAACATAAACATAACTTTAAAAACTAAACTAACCAGACTTGTATGGGATGATAACATGTCCAGGACTCATTAACGATGAGAAGACAACACTGCACTCTTGGACTGCCTAGCAGGTTGATCTTGAAGTATGTTCTAGGTCGGAGATCAGAGGTCGCATTCGAAGGAGGGGGCAAGTATCTCTTAATCAGAGCGATCGCTTTAATTATTCTAATTTTACAATAAATCAACAATAAAGATGACTCTTTGTCAACATCTCAAGGCTTTCAAATCAACGTTGATGCATTTTTTTATATTATCTCTTAAACTCAGATGAGATTCGTATAGAAAAAATCTGGTGCGCGCAACACACAACTTTCACTTACCGATCTACTTTGAATAGAAATTATTTTCTGGCAATGCTGGGCTATTATAAAATTTTTTGAAGTGCATTTTAAACGGAGCTAAAGCTTAAAGCTTACAGATAACAAGTCATTAAGACCATTATAATTACAAAATGTCTATTTAATATATCGACGACAGACAATAAAAATCTAGTCACTCCATCAGCTTTTATAAACCACAGAATGACTAACTTCAATTTCAACATTTTTGAGTGATGTCATTTTAGTGATATTTTTAGTTGCAAAAGTTGTCTATGCAGACAATGAGTAAGTTGATTCCGGAGGTGGTGATCGCAGTGTTGAAATATAGAACTGAGAATAAAGGTATAAATTTAGGTACTTATTTCTTATGAAAGATGTTCTTAGGAAAGACACATTATTAAATATCTGTAGAAAAAAGGTTTTTTTAGTCTCAACAATTAAAAAAGTACATTTTAAATTTATCCAAATTTTCGCCTCTTCAGGGAAAAAAACTACAGACCATATCTTTCCTCCTAATTATCCGATTTTTTTTTTTTTTTTTTGTTTTTTTTAAGGATATTCCATAAACTTTTAAAAATCATATACCATATCAACAAAAAAGCGTATACTTTTTGAGTTATTCGGAATTTAATTTTAACATCCCTCCTAACTTTTTTTCCGGCTTCTTTTCGTTGAAGTATGTTATAAGGATAAATTTAAAGGGTGCCGAGAAAATGACTTTAGCGAAGTTTCAGTTAAATCGGTACATTTGTTTAGGCGCTGCAGTCTATAGCAACGCAGGTTTTTCTGCATTTCTATTTATTTTTCTCCTTTATTAACTTATCAAATTCTTTCAAAAGTTATATGTAGCATTTTTCGTAACTCTGAATAATGCGAAATGGTTAACTTAAAAAAATAAACCATATTATAGGTACTTTAGAGGAAGACATAATATGAACATTGGGCATTAGAGCCCTGTAAAGTGACATCAACGGAGAAAAGACCTAAATGATATTACGCCGATACGATACGCCGAGTTTGATCAAAATCGTTAGAGCCGTTTTTGTGAAATTTGTAAAAATGTGTTTCAGCGTTCGTATAAAGTGGCACTTCAGGTTAGCCGATTTTAACGAAAAAGTTGCTGTCACATCCGGCCCATATAAAAACCTTTAATACTTCATATCAGTTTCGTACTACTTTTCTTTTATGAGCTAGACTGTTAACACACACAGACCATTTTGCGACACTTGGTTATTTGGACTCAGGGGACCTCAAAACACGTATTTCCGTTGAAAACTGAGATTCGAAAATTTTCACGAAAGCAATACTTACCCTTACTATATATTACATATATACGTAAGTTTTTTTTATTTTTTTTTTTTATTAAACGCCTCTGCCGTTGGCTATTAGGCCATTCGGCTTCTGGCAGCCCAGTACAACTCCGCCATGAATCGTTTGTTTACATTTGTTCCGATCCCATCAGAAGTACTGCGGACATCTGACAGAGCGGGGCAAACTGGGAGGTGCAGGTCGTACATCTCGTCCTGTTGGCAAAGAGGGCACACAGGACTTCCCACCACTCCGATCCTGTGTAAATGCCTTTGCAGGTAATCGTGCCCTGTTGCCATGCGGAAGTTTGCCACCGATTCTTTCCTATTTTTGGTTTGTTTTATCGGCTCCTCTGTTAAACATTCCCATTTTTTCCCCGCTGCCTGTCGCTTTTGCCAACTCTTATTTTCTTCCTTGTAAAATGATTTTAACAGATTCGTAGGGCAGCGGGGGATTAGTTTGTGGCATTTCCGAGGCGATCCGTGCGAGCTCATCAGCTTTTTCGTTTCCTGGTATCCCGCAATGGCTTGGAACCCATTGGAAAGCCACTCGGATTCCTTTTTCAATTAAGTCATTAATCCGATTCCTGGCACTAGTGACATCAGGATGGTCCAGGCCATTGCAGGTCGACAGTATGGCTGCTTGTGAATCGACGAAGATCACAACTTGGGGATAGGTGAGTTCTTTATCTATTGCAGTCAATGCTGCCGAAATGGCTTTGACTTCTCCATCAAAGTTTGTTCCCCGGCTACCAGCAGGGATGGATAACATGAAATCTTGGCTGTATACTCCTGCTCCTGCATTCCGTAGCTGTTTGAGCGGAGCCGTCGGTGTATACGTGGAGCCAGTTCTGCTCGGAGTAGCGGCTATTTATTGTTTCCAAAGCAAGCGCTTTCAATTTCCACTCAGGTGTTTGGTGTTTTCTTACTGGTTGTGTTAGATCTAGCCGTGCCTCTGCAATAACTCTTTGATGGTCACTGCATTTATTAAATGGCAGGCTCATGCCTAGATCTATGTGTTTTCTTTAACTTTTACTCTTAGTGGTTTTTGCGGCTTGAGGCGCTGGACAGATGTTTCTTGAGCAGCCCAGTACTTCAAACCTAGTCTTTTCATTCTCTCTGTAAGGCAGATAGTTGCTACTTCTCTCCTTGTTTGAAGTGGTTCTATTCCCGTTTGTAACTGAAGAGCTGCAATTGGTGTGAATTTTGCAGCCCCTGTAATCAGTCTCAAAGCCTTGTTTTGCACCACATCCAAAGCATGCAGTGAGTTTTCTGATGCAGTCAATAATATCTCACTACCATACTCCATTACCGGTCTTATATACGTAAGTGAAAGTAAAAAAAACTCTAATGAAGTCACAACAAATATCTTTTTTACTAATGATGGAACTATATTGTAAACACTCTTGTCCTGCTGTTTTGAAGGTACTATTTCGGTGGTACTGCCCACCGCAGCGGGTGGTAGGAACTTAAAGCTTGAGAATTTTGTTAAAACTACTCACCGTAGCGGCTAACTCCTATAGCATTAAATATCTACTTTATAATATCGTAGGTTTATTTCAAAAAGTCGTTAACGAGGAGAATCCCTCTCTAGATCTACTTATCCCTACAATCCTCCTCGAAGGTTGAAGCAGTAGAGGCCCAGACAACTGTTATAAGAATATATTGGAGTTCTGGCAATGGCCAGATTCTCCACTTAAGCCATATATGTCTGGTTATAGCGCCTATGCTCAGCTTCCACTGGTCTTTAATACCGGTGATGCGGCTGAGTGAGAGCCGCAGGGATCTCCTAGAGTCCTGCCTTTCCTTCCACGAGTGGGGGAAAGACAAGGCTATGTGACCTTGGGTGAATGAATATTGTATAGAAGTATGTGTGTATTTAAGTAGCTATTGTGATTATTTTAGTTTCTTTTTGTTTAATTTATATACATTTACTTATTAATTATTTTGCTGTTTATTTATTGTGCATAGTGTGAATGAGTTACTGTTTATTGCTATTATTATTGTCCTTAAATGTGACAGATTATAATATATCTTAATAAAGAATCTTTAAAAAATAATAAAAAAAAATTTTTTGACATATCCTTACATATATTAACAGAAATAAATTCTTTATAATTTAAAAAAAATACATATTTTGATTGTTTAAATAGCTAAGACCACTCAAAGGCACAAATATGGACAATTAAAAATATATATATTTTTCCGTTATCCATTTTGAAGGGAGCTTCAGTCGGAAAGCCTTTCCCGACCCCCAGAGATCTGCCAGTGTAGCGAAGTAAGGAATAAAAAACATATTAAATCAATTGGAATGAAATCTATGGTGTAGTAGATTACAAAATTCAATTTGTTACAAATGTTTTAATAAATAATAATAATATGAACAACATTATATAATAATACAGAAGGAAAAATATTAAGTAATTAGCTTCAGAAAACAGATTAAAAAAAAAATTCGGAAACGTCAAAAAAATTTAAGAATAATAAAAATAATTTGAAAACCTGATTGATTTTTTATGGTTTGGTTATAACAATTATTTATAGGAAACTGTATTGCACCTCTATTGATAAAAAAAATTACAAGAATGTAATTATCTGAAGATTAAAAAAAGGCAAAAAAGTAGACAAGATAACTGTTTCCTTTAATCTATTTCACTTGCTCATAAATCGCTGACTATATGGTACAGATAAGAAGGAAGGACGAAACCTCACTGATTACTAACACACATAGCACCACATTGTAAAAAATAATCATAATATAATAAAGAAAAAAACTTTAATATTTTATAAAAATAGTGAAAAGTAATTCAACCTCAAAAGAATAGTTTTCAATCTGAATATAAATTTTAAAAAAAAATCTCGTTAAATATAGCTTTAACCTTTTAAGTTTGTTTATCTGATCCATAGTAATGATTATTTTTCCAGAAGTATTTTAATGTCCCTGCGAACGTGAAAGACCACATAAAAAAAAAACTGTTATTATTGGCCAATCAAATTTGATTAAAGACTTTAATTTAAATTCAATCTTATTCCTTAATTAAAATAAGCTAATACACAACTCACTAAAACTTATATTAGCACTCCTAGAACTTGAATTATAATATTTTCATTTTTTTTTCAGATAAAAAGAAATATATTATTCCAAAAATTATAAGACTGAATTTAAAATGCTTATATATCTTTGAATTCATGACAGTAAACAGTTTAATATGAATTAAATAAACAATGAGTCAACAAAATCCGAAATTAACATGTTTTGTAGCTTTAATAATAAGTTAAAAAGTGTATGCGATAAGACATAACCTTAGTACAATTACAATAAAAGTCATTGAAAAAATTTGAAAGTTTCAAAAGTCAGATGGTTTCAAAAGTTGACATATCGATAAAGGATAATATTTTCCCTAAATGAAATAATAAA